GACACCCCCCAAGAAGACTCCCTCCCCGACACCCCCCAAGAAGACTTCCTCCCCGACACCCCCCCAAGAAGATTCCCTCCCCGGCGCCCCCCCAAGAAGCCGGCCCCAATCCCCAAGATCCCCCCCCCACCCCCGCCGCCAAAAAAGAAGGGTCCTCCCCCCCCCCAACCCAAATTCCCCCCGCCCCCAAAAGCAAAGTTTCCTCCCCCCCCGCCACCCAAATTTCCCCCAGCCCCGAAAGGCAAGAGTCCTCCGCCCCCCCCACCCAAGTCCCCAAGCGGCAAAAGCCCAGGTTCCAAGTCCCGTTAAGTTTGAGGGGTGGAAGCTGTACGATAATGGGCTTGGAGGCTTGCTGGTGGATAAAGTGTTCCATACGTTTCCATTGACGAAAGAGGCTGGTCGAGCCTGACGTGGCTGAACAGCGGCAAGCGCTGCGGGGCTATCTGTAAAATACGCCATGAAATATTGCTTTAGCATGGAGTAACAAACATTCTGCCCAGACAATTGTAGCATCAACCGACGCTTGGAACATTTGTAGGGGCTGTACTTCGACTGCCTGTAATCTCGATCATTTCCTTATAGCATGTTTTAGTGTGCCCGGCCAGCCGCCTATCCATGGCTCGAGTTTTACGAGCCTGCTCGTTCAATTTCGGCCATTGACAGCAAGTTCGGTTACCAAATCTGATGCACGTCCGGCTTGCTTGCATTATCTTCGGAATGATCTGATTACCGGGAACTCATGCCGCGGACATACCGTATGCACGTACGGTACGGTAATAAGCCACATCTTTGAGTCTTATAGTATATAGCGACATTTGGAAATCAGGTTTCGGTTTTGGGACAGCCTATACGGGTGCATTTGACCATGACACGTATGGTTAGCTATGCACGCGTGCACGCAGGCCAAATACAGTGACGGTGCTGAGCCCGTCGCTAGCTAGCCAGCTCGCCGCGGCATGCCTGCCTCATGCGCACGTTCCCAGCCGCTGTATCTGTAGTGTAGCTGGCATGTATGCTGCCTCAAATTTGTCTATATTCAGTGCATCATGCCATATCCTGCACTGGTACACGGATGCATAGGCTCATGCAAACCGAAGTTGGTTCGACCGATCAGGGATGAGTAAGCTTGATCACGTTACGCATTGCATGTGTTTCGTCCACGCCAAACGTCATTGATGAGGGCGTCCATTATCTGTCGCTTAGAGTGCCGCAGCACAAACTGCGTGGTCTCCAGACGAGCACGTTTACCAGATCTTTAAGCTTCTTAAATACCTTCAAACACGATGAAGTGGTTTGTAGCTGTATGATGACCTTCTTTAGCTTGCAATTAGACAAAGGGCCAAAGGGCCAGAGGTAACTTAATCGACCGTTCTCTTTAGCGTTGCGTCTATATCGGCAGTCTTACGGGACCTGGATCGTATCCCGCCTTCCGCATCTCGTCGAGGACTGCTTTGGCCTCGAGGTATCGCTCCCCTTGTTTATAGCTTGCCAACATGGACCGATAAGCATCCTGCACAGGACGGCACCCTTGTCATGGGCTGCTCGAAGTCAAGAGCACGTGAAGCAAACAGATCGTGTGCATCTCGATCAAGATACAATTTGTTGTCCGCAAGTAGGCTGTCACGCCGAGAAGGATCACGCAAAGGATCCCCATTCGCATCCACGCCAACGACTGTTTGAGAACACAACCCACAATCACCTGACGGCTTCTCCCCCACTCGTTGCGACTGAGGCACGTCCAAGATCCGGCACACATCAAGACAGCAGTTCAATGCGTTTGAAGTCGCAAGGGAAGAACCCTGGACAAAAGCTCAACCCGTAAAGGCTGCATGACGACCGTGTTTGACGTGAGGGTGTGTAATCCGTTACGATTACACACCTTTTGGAATGGACTTGAGCGGTAGAAGAATAGAGGCACTTGCGGATCCTAAAGGCAGCCCAAGTAGCTCGTCAACTCACCAGCGACGGTGCGAAGCCCCGTTCCGCCATTTGGCTGCGCACATCGGCCATCTCGTCGAACAAGCTGCCTCGCCCCAGCGCGTCTAGGAGGGCGTTGAACATGGGCTGGTCCGGCGGAACTCCGCCGGAAATGGCCTCTTGGAAGATACGCAGCGCCTGGAAGGGCCTGCGCCACGCAAAAGCGGTTTGCAAAATCTCAGGTCGATTGGAGATATCTCTGGTTACAGTAGATCTGAACTTTGCGGTCTCAGACCCGCCCCCAAAGCTTAATCGGTAGTAGTAACCGCCTCACGTATGCTTTTGCCCCTTCCTCTCTATGACCACAAAGCAAAGAATCTCAACGCAAAGCTGCAAAAATGGGCCCTCGAATCCCCAGAAAGGAATCCATCTGTCGCGGATCTGAGGTTCGATCCAGAGGAGCAATCTTAAAGGGCTGCACAGTTCACCGTAGCAAAGGCATGCCGGGAGCAGTAACTTATCAAAGCGACGCAATCTGCCAGATCTCGAAAAGCTTTGCGGCAACTTCAGATAGTTCTCGAAACGGACAACTCACGAGCACAAGGAGATGTCTTCAATTCAGTATGGTCTGCCTTAGAGCTTTCGACTCGCTCTTCACCGAGGAAACACGGGAGTGAATCCACTTCCTTATACATATCTGTTCCGCAAAAAGCAACGGGCTCATTGGCAATGGAATCGAAAGTAATTGCAGCCTCGTTCAAGGTGACTAAGTTCAGCCACACGCCCCTCGCACGGAAAGTGGTGACTCAAGCCGTAGACGGGTATTGTTTACAATCCCAACATCTGAATGAGTTCAGTAACCGGTTGGCGTGACCCTTGCTTTGGCAAATTCAGTCTATGACCTTTGAGGATGCTTTTCTATACACACAGATTAAGCAGATGCAGCAGCCCCACCTGTTATCCCTCCCGCACGCGCCAACCAGCGAGGTGTACGTGATGTGCGTGGCTTGCAGTCCCTTGCCCACCATCTCCTCAAAGAGCGCTAGGGCCCGCGTCAGCTGCTTCCCTCGGCCGCACGCGTTGATCAGGATATTGTACGAACTGCACGCGAAGTCAGGTAAGTTGCGCGCTTGTTGGACTCACCTGTCCCAGGAGGCAGAATAATGCTCGTGAAACATGCGAGCATCGGTGGTTTGCTGGACCGTCCTGTTTCTACGGCTGACAGGACCAACGGCTGCGACCAGGTGCCAAGCATAAACTGCTGTAGCATAGACGGGGTCCTCAGGGGGCCGAGTAGCACTCGAAACTTGAAGCTCGAATCTGCTTGTTGATGGCAATATAGTCAGGGTTCTCATAAGACGGCGGCTAGTCTTTCGAACTCGTACTCTCACCTGCCGTCGGGGTCGATGCCCTCCACTTTCATCCGCTCAAATAGGGCCAGGGCGTCTGTGGCAAGGCCCAGTTTCGCATAGCCGCTGAGGAGAGCGTTGTAGTGGAACACGTTCCGTCGGCAAGCCACCTGCGAGGCAAGATACTGACGTCGAACTTGAAGACGAGATTGAACGTGCTGTGCACTAGACTAAAACACGTAATTAACCTCCTTTCTCATCCCGTCAACCTGAGGACGATAACAAAAGCGTTTTCAATACTCAAGCTGAGTCGATCGACCAGACTCCGGACTCTGCTTTGCAACACAGACTCAACCAGTGGTCAGAAGGTATCACCTCGACAACTTGAAGTACGCTCCTAAGGCCTTCTTGCTCCTTTAGCACGTCCTCACCGTTGTCCTCCGCTGAACATGCTCGACCACAAAACGGACGGTACAAGGTAGTCAACGAAACACGAGCATGAAGCACAGACGTCCAAATTTCAAAAGCACAGTAGGGTGTCGGCAGGCACGCACCATGTCCATCATCTCAAAGACGTGCTGGGCCTTCTCCACCTGCCCGTGTTTGCTAAGGACGGTGATAATGCTGTTGAACGTGATCTCGTCTGGCGCACGCCGCTCGTTGCCTTGCTGAAGCATCCAGTGGTAGACCTGCACTTTGTGCACAATGAGAGCTTGGCTTGCTGAGGGATCAACGCATTCTTGGGCAATGCAAGAAATGCTTCGAAACTAAGTGGCGCCTGGTGACTTGCTGCGTTGCATGAGAGTTGTTTGAGTACGTCAGGATTTGTTCGTGTTGGCCTCTGCTGAGTTGTAAGAGGAGAGCAAGCAAGTTGCTCACAGCACACAAAGGTCTCCCAGTGGTGATCCAAGATGATGGAGCCATCTCTCCTCCTAGACCCTGAAAAGATTTCTCGTTACTTCACAAGGTCACTCCGGTCCTCTATTTCTGAGAGAAAACAGCAGAGTCCCAGCAAGACAAAAAATTTCACCTCGAATGCCTTGTTTGTCCGGCCCCTGACGCCAAGATCCTTTATGATCTGCGCATCGAGCGTGAATTGCCTCAAAGGCCATTGATGGTGTTGGTACGCATCTGTACTCTGCTCTTCCACAACGAGCAACAAGGCGAGATAGCATCGTGGCAGTAAGGAACCTTAAAGTCTGGGACACATGAACATCGTCGAAGTGCTCTCATTGCTTTCCACAAGAATGGCAAGCGGGCTGATTCACTTGTGTGAGTGAAAGGTAATCTGCTCACCATGTTCAGCTCTGCCCTTTGCACCGCTTCCGCCAACTGGTCAAGAACTCCATCAGTCGTCAAGTCCCGTGCCTCATACAGGATTCGCATGACCGCGGCAGCTCGAGGGGCTCCGTGTCGGGGAAGCTTCATCCTGCTGGGGGAGAGCGGCTTGCTGGGGCTACCTTGAGAAGTGGAGGGTTTGGCTGGCTGGACAGCTCGACGCATCGTCCCTGTAGAGTCTCTTATCCATGTCTTGTTTGCTTGTCTTCGTGGCTGGCTGCTAACTGAAGCGTCTGCATTCCCCCTTCTTTCAGCAGGGGAGGTTTCTTCTAAGGCAGATGTTTGTTCCAAAGACCGCACTTCAGCAGCAGCCCCCCCGGCAGCCTCTTTTTGCAGCAAGATCAGCTCATCTATGCTTGATATGATCCTAGGAGCGCCAGTAAGAAGAGTTCTTGCACGTTGGTCAACTCCGTTGAGAGGAAGGGGCTCAAGCTGGGGTGCAACTGCGCCACCTTCATTCTCCTCCCTCACACTGCTTGTTGACACCTTATCACCATGACCTGCTCCTATTGCTTGTCTGTCAGATTCCCCACCCTGGGAGGCAGCAGCTGTGGACAACGCTCTTTCATTTCTCCGCACCACCAGCAACTTGAAGCCTGCTACTTTCAAGCTTTTGCAAGCAGGACAGTACCCCTGTCTTTTATCAGGCAATGCTGAAAGTGCTGCAGCAGCTGAGGCAGCTTGCTTCCTCCTCTGCAGGCTATCTGGTCGGCTGTGGTTTGCAACCTGCAGATTGCCTGTAGTAGCAAGATTCTGGGCCTCTCTTGGGCCAATCAAAGAAGCCGCTGCTGCAGAGCCCCGGGATACGTTTCTCAGGCACGTCGCTTCCATCCTCACGGCAGTCACGGGAAGCTGCTCAGAAATTGACGCCTTTCACAAGAACTCTCTGTTCAGGTGCCAGAGCCTCAGGAGGCATGAGCTGCAAACAGTAGAATGCTGGCGCTTTTGTAGGTCCGTGTGTAGGTCATACCGGTATCTGTCCTCTCTCGAGCACCACTGCAGACTGCAGGCGATGGCCCTGGGCCTGGTTCCAATCCTGAGCTTGAGCCAAGTTGCGATTTAGAAGAGGGCGTTTTTACTTGTTCAGAGGTCGCACAGAATTGGCGCAAGGATGCAAAGCGCGATTGCCGTATTCTAAAGTCTGTAGCACAACATGAACTTTCTAATGAATCGGTAATTCTTGGTGATCGATCTGGATCGATCCGACCAGTCCAGTGTGGAGAAGCTGATCATTTCCACATCAGATTCATGGCCAGCGGGTGGCCAGCTTGCTAGCATTGCCAGTTGGCAATGCAGCTGCGATGGCGGTGCACACGGCCTACACACTGTGACTGCCCTCTCGTGCAGCTTAGAAGGGTGGCAAACATTGCCTTGTATAGGCTGTCCTGCAAGTTACTTTATGCTCGTAGCCCGTGCGAGCCAGGTGCGAGCGCTGGGCCAAGCTGCGAAACCGCGACACGAAGTGGCCCCAAGCTCTGCGAATCTGCTACAATCTGGAAGAAAGTGTTCGCCAGTGCTCTTCAATTTTATGAAGGAGCTTGAAGCATAGGGGTGATTGCCCAAGACCGAGGGAGATGAAGCTCAAGCAGTTGGAGTCCATCCTGGGGGGCATCGAGCAGTTTCAGTCCCCAAAAGTAAGCCGACGACGGGGCTAGAGATTTCGGTTTGACGATGAGGCGGTCCCCTTTTCAGAGTCATTTAAAACTCTCCGTGACAGAAATGCAAAGAAATACCACTCTTATGAGTCCCAAACTCATGCCCGTCGTCATCAAGCCTTGCCTTCGAAATTGAGCTTTCATGCCACTTTCTTATTGCTAGTACAGCTTACAGTTGATTGCTCCGGTTGTCTGTCAGATTGAACTTGAGCAGTACCCGACTGGGGCGCATATTGCATCTCGGATGCTGTACACCATTCACAACTCCTATGATGACCTGGAGGACAAGGTGGTGCTGGACTTGGGCTGCGGCTGTGGCACCCTTGGGATAGGGGCAGCCATCCTGGGGGCAGGGTGAGTCCTGCGCCACCTTGTTCCTTTCACTTTCCCTCCCGCTCTCAGCAAAGCTTACCTTGCTTGAAGTTGTTGCCGTGTAGCACATCGTTGTGCGTTCAGCAGGGAATTGACTCTTTTTCTGCTTGATGGTGCTCTTAATCAACCTTTCATTCCACTCGTGGCGCTGTCCTCTTACCACCATAACACAGGTCTACGGATTCGCTGCGCTCAGTCAAACCCCCAGGAGGGGCAAGCTTTTTGTGGCTTCGACCTATTCCATGAGTCTCACTCCTGTGCATCACAACATTCGTCAATGGCTTCCTAATGAAAGGAATACAAGGTTATGTCATGTATCCTGTCCACAGGCACGTGATCGGGGTCGACTTGGACGAGGCTGCCCTCGACCTTGCCAGGGACAACTGCGAAGAATTTGAGGTGGAGATCGACCTGGTTCGGGCTGAGGTCAGCGGGCGGGAAAGTAGTGGTAAGGTGCAAGGCTTGTCCGTCCTTTTTCGGTTTCGCTGTGATGCCTTTCAAAACAGTGACGTCATCTGGATCTTGAGCTCAATTCGTTAGTGCATCGCCCACTCCATAGTCGACTCAAAAGACAGTGTCTGGACATTCTGGTCCGTCATTCTGGGGGCAGGCTTGATTTCCTACACCATTCCTTCACTGCAAGGGAATAAGCCAAATCGTTTTGAGAGCACCCCCGGTATCTTGACGACAAGTACTCGTCAAGATACTAGGGACCTTTTAGCAAGATTGTGAACGAGTGACTTCACATGCTTAACAATAGCCGCTGAAGGGACCCGTTCGTTCCTACCTTTCTGCAGGCTTTTCAGCCGATACGGTGGTAATGAACCCGCCGTTTGGCACCCGACGGAAGGGGGCGGACATGGAGTTCTTGCGAACAGCATTTCGGGTAAGCACTTCCCTCAAGTTGCAAACACCTCAACCGTACAGCTCGTGAATATCCAAACGACATGTTCCACGAGTGTCACGTTCCTCCAGAATCGATACGTCGAGAGGGGGCTCTTATTGAAGTTTATGAGCAGTCGATTCCGCTCTGGCCCGGGTTTATTGCCAAGAAAAAGCACGTCCTCGATATTCTGGCAAGCGCAGGATACCCTCTAATGAAACTGCAGGAGCTTGAAGGTTGACGAGATTTCTGGCCAGGAATAATCACCCTTGAAGCGTGCTCGTCTTCTCAACTCAATTATGTACTCAAGTCGGAGTTCGGTGTTCCTTGAAGCCTCTGGACAGGGCCTCGTAAGTTGCTGCGAATTTTCTAATTGTTTTGCCGCAGGCCGTAACCGCCTTTGAGAAGAAGTTCGCTCACGAGTCAATCGGGCCTGCATCTGTCAGCCCAAAAGTTAGGCCCAGGTCTCAGAGATGAACAATCTACCGGTTGTTGACAAAATTGTGATTTGGTATTCTGCAGATTGCGAGTGGGTCAATTTATTCCCTGCACAAGTCATCGACACGAGAGGTGCGTTCATCCCCCTGACAGCAGCAATCTGGTCGCTTTCACCAAGAGCTCGGGCCTGCTTATTTGGGCAGGTCATGCGTTTGTTACATATCTCTGTGTATGGCCATTTCATGGTGCTATAATTTCCGGAAACAGTTCCGCTTTCTCCTTTGAGTAAGAAGGAAGATGGTATGTGGACTACTTGTCAGAACAAAGCGACTCGGAACCGACTTCATTGTCCTCTAAGGAACCAGAGAACTTTGACGTTAGGAACAAAGCATATATTCAATCACGGACGCCTCACGGGCCACTAACCTCCTTCTGATGCAGCACATACAGCGGGTAGCCCTCAAAGAGCTGGGCGCGAAATCTGCGGAAGTGATTTGCGAGGTGAGCGCTCAGGCCAACGTTGCTGATCGCCTGTACCATCAAATTACTTTGAAGGACTTTCAGCCGTTCTCTTCTGCTTTTGCAGACAATGCTTGCGTGGCTAATCGCAATCAACGTGTAAAGGGGATTTTAAGCTTGCTTCTCGAGCAAGTTGCAAAAAATCACTCATTGATTGTCGGCAGTCAAATGGAGGAGGTAGCAGTCGAAGTTACAGAGAATCGAATGCCTAAACCCTGCTCGCGCGAACGTGCGTCGTATAGATGCAGGCCGAGATAGATCCTCTGCATTCCCCTCTTGCAGCTTCGGTACAACCTGCCGGCAACGTACAAGTTCCATAAGAAGCGAGAAGTGGACATCGAAGTTGACCTTTGGAGGTTCGAGTTGGCTCAAAGACCATAATTGGGTCTGCGTCTATGCTTCGGCACCTTCCAGAAATCATGAGATGGCCCGGCCACTGCAACGCTTCCAACATTACATGAATCTTAGGTACATTCGGTTGCATACATGGCGTGTACATGCCAGGCTGGGAAGTTTCGTCCCATTTCCAGCATAACCGTGCCGAGAAAGGCTGTTCCGAGGTCTGGATTCAGCGAGAGGAACCATAATGATCCATCTACTCGAATTGTCGGAAGCTTGCCACTCGTAGTTATCAAGCTCGAGCTGCTACCGCCTACCTGATTTGGTCATTCATGGCTGAATCGGGCCACATACCACACACTTGTAAGGAACTTACATACATGATGGAGGCATCAATCTCCAGGAACTCGATCGGGGATTTCAAAATTTGCAACCGGATCACCATGGGAATGTGCAACATAGGCCTGCGCGACCATGTTCAAGTTGACCTAGGAGGGGAATGTGAGCGAGTCACGTATATTGGACGGGCATGACTTGGACGGTGATTGCCATATTGATGATCTGAATGTACAGCTACCAGATCGACAGGCCAAGCATGTGGCCTGTCAAAAGACTGTATTATAATAGCTTGTACAATTTTGTGCAATAGCATTAGCTACTAGGCTAAGCATCGATGCAAAGTGCTACGGATTTCTTGGTAACGTTTGGAAGCCCAGTTGTCGATTCTACATACAGTCACTGCTCCTTTGATCAAGACTTAGAAAGATGGGTAGTCCGATTATTATTCTTATGTCAAGGGCTGACCGGCACAGAAGTGTCTTTTCTTCACTTCTACTGCACAGATTTCTGATGCATGAACGGTCCTCTAATCAACAAACTCTCCTCTACTATCTTTGTACCGCTCATGGTAGATGGCTGTCGAATGTTTGAAACGCGTCTTTACACAAAAGTTGAAAGCACGACTTATATTGAAAGTCTTCTGCACATTACCCCGGTTGGAATACAGTGAGGGTTTCCTTCGAGCTAAGCTTTGACATTACAGACGCCCCTATGTACACTTTACTATCAAGCCTTTGAAGGCAACGGTGTAAACGGCGTGGGTGTGGGAGAAAGACACGGGCACGGAGGACAACCGGAAGGCGTGGGAGAGGGGGTCTCTGGGACCGGGGGAGTGGTAACCGGGGGAGTAGTCACCGGGGGAGTAGTCACGGGGGGTGTTGTGACGGGGGGAGCAGTCACCGGGGGAGTAGTCACTGGTTTCGTGGTGACTGGGGGGGTCGT